TGAAACTGAACTGTCAGATTTTGGAAGAGTCATAAGTTTGTAGCCTTCCTCAAGGAGCATGTAGGAAAAAAATCCAACCCCCTCCTCCTTTTTATGGAAGAGTGCCCAATTTGCACAAGCAGATAAAGAAATGCAGCATTTGTCCTGACTCAGAATAATTGACTTCTGGGGAAAAACCAAAGTAGGTGGTAATCATGTATCAAGTGATTTAGAAATCCTGAAGATGCAGTAAATCGACAGCTAGGAGCAAGTTGCAATGTTTGGACTGAATCTCTAAGTTGGAATTATGTCAAGATCTAGACCAAGGAAAGATAAATCATGAGAAGTCAGCATAAATCCTTGTCAGATTGTGATACTTTCAAAGGTCTCATACGATCAAGCACCCGTAAACTGTCAAAACTGGAAGAGGTCCCTCAAAACACCTGACTGTACATCCCATGACGTGTTACGACAGACCAGACCAGAATATAAAACTCATTCCAGTTCAGACTGGATGAGCATAAAGCCACAAGGTCTAAAACTTTCAGCCTCCCTTCTCGTGAATAACCTGTCACTCTCAGAGAAGGAATGGTTCCCAGTTCCACTTCTACCAAAATCAAGTGGAAGCAAAGCAGGTACAATTTCTGGAGCCAAGAGACTGAAACCCCCACCCCAGACCAGTTTTATGTCAGTTGTCTAATCTCCACTGCTGACTGCTGTTACCCCGAGTAGCTCCGACGGACTTCAGTTAACAGGCTGGGCCTGCAAGCCCCAGTGAAAGACAGCCAGCTCAGTTTCAGGAACACATTTTGATGACCTCAGTCTTTTTTCTCAAAGTCTGGGGGAGATCAGACACGTTTGCAACCAGTGCCCATTTACCACGTACTTTGCTCACTGTTTATTTTCATCTACTGAACCTCTAATATTTATTTTCTCCTTTTTTTGATTTTTTAATCTACCCTTTTCTTTTCCATCCTCCTGCAATACCTTATCATAGCTAACCAAATGCTTCTGTTTGCTTATATGGTGACTGTCATGGCATTTTGTGCTTTGGTGGGCGTGGCTTGTTTGGAGTTTTGGTTGAAAATTTCACCATTTATCTCTTGTGCAATTTCCCTAACATTTGTACTGGATCCCTGATACATTACGATGTCTTTAAAATGCGGGATGCTTCTCCAAGACTGTGGCCTCATCTTTATACAAAAGGACACTATTATCAGCAAAGATTGAATGCTTACTGCCCACTCAGGGATAAGTAGAACTGTCTGGTATTTTTTCCTTGCACTAGACGGGTATATATGCATATCACAGCACTCATTTTAAAAAGGTACAACAAAGGCTTGAGAGCGCCTTACATTTGGCAGTTGTTCTTTGCATCATCAGTTACTGCCTCTGTGTGCTGTGGAACGTAGCTGGGAGGCAAGGTGTCCTTCTGCACCCTGAACGTTCACTTCTCCAGCAGAGCTGTCACAGCTACACTTCAGTCCTTGGGATTTCAATTGTCTAGATTTTTTAAAATAAAAATTTAAAGAGAAATCAACAAAATCTGAGCTAAAAAATGGACCCGCATGTAATTGCTGCTTCTTATCTGTCCTTCAGTGATAATTTAAGAGAAACAATTTTTTTTCCTCTTCTGGCCTAAAGCATACCAAACCCTATTTCCAGGCACAGCTTTCATTGGCCAGATCTATACACAGCTACCTTGAGTATGTGCTTTTCCATTTTCCACTCCTTCAAGTCATCCAGCTTCACCTGTGACATTTCCTCCTATTTTTTTTAAACTAATCCTCCCTTACCTCAAAGGAAGATTGTGGTATTTAAGTTGTGTTATGTTATGAAGACAACAATTCTTTTGCCAGGAGATTTGCGTGATACAGCAGTGTCCTTCGGTAATATTTTTTTCCTTTCTACAGAAATACACGATATTCCAACACTATGGTTCTGTGTGTCAACACTTTCATGCCCTCATTTCTCTATACAATACGATCCACTTGTGTTGGATCATTAACTCTGATGACTGATTTGACACCTTTTCATCTACCTAACCAGACACCACAGAGCAGACTGAGAGCCCAGGCTGCCTGCACATTCCCATGCAGACAATCACACTCTTGTGTTGTCCTCTAACATCACATTGGAAATGAACTTGAAGTAATGCTTCCCATTTGGGCAGTCAGTTCATGAGAATGCTCTATTCCAGAGCAATTTGCCAAGTGATTATTTTGGATTAGTGTTTCCATAGGGAGTTATTCTTGAACAGCTTGTGGAACTGCAGGACGATGTCTTATGTAGTAGGTACCCTCATTATTTTTCCCTGGGTAGATGGACTGACACCCCCCTCCACCCCCACAAGTGGTTCCTGTCAATTTGCATACATTAATACTTTTTCTCTGCTCAAAGCATTTAATAGGGGAGAAGTACTTTAAATGTCAGTATTAATTATCAGCATTGACAGCTGAATTAGTGCTCATTGAAATGAAAGCACAGGCAGCTCAGTTGTTCATCCCCTGCAAACTGCGTTAAACTCAAGTCACTCTTGGGAGGGTCTCTGTAGCCATGTCAGCCAGAGACTACTCAGATTCAAAACCCACTAAAGACATGTTCACATCCCCTCTGACAAATCCTTTGAGAAACATTGCACTAACCCCATGCTTTGTTCTTGTGTAAGCTTTGTAATATGTAGTTCTCAAGGGCTTGCTTTAAATAACTGAAAACTAACTCTCATGGTGTCTTTTTCCCTTCCTTCCCATATTTCTTTGTAGGTTGTAGCTACTGGTGCAATAATGGGCTCCACCTTGCATGTTTCCATGTGTTGTATCCTAACCGGCAACTTGGACAATCACCTTCCATTTAAAAAAGCAAAAACAAACCACGAAATTAACCCATGGACATAATCAACACTTTATCCGAATTCTCCTTTTCTGCCTTTTTCTGCTTGGTGTGGGCTGTTAGCTTGAATAACAACTCCTGTCTGCAAGAAGCTGCTGTCTAACAACGTGGCCATCTTTCACTTCTGAAGCATTTCAGCAGGCTGGAACTTCCTCCTGGAAAGGGTCTGGTGATCTGCTCTCTAACTAACCCGGTGCAAGCAGCAGCGAGTGCTGTGTGTCCTGCCCAGCAGGTTGGGGGTTTTCCTGAAACTGGTGTGACTTGCCTGCAAGTCTCACGAGGCGGAGGGGTGCAGCTTCCTAGTTGCAGTCTGAGGTTACGCCTGTCACCCTTAGTGCTGGACTGTGGCTTTGTGACTGAAGGCAACAGGTACATTTTCACAGGCGCAGCCGATGACTGAACACTCCGCTTGGACTGCAAACCAACAAGAGTTAAGGGCCAGATTGTGCTGGTTCTCCCTTGGGACCAGAGCCAGCACTGAAGCCAGGGTCAGTTTTGTCAGGGGCTGGATGAAGCTGGTGCAGTTCTCGAGTGGAAAGAAGGATGGTCCTTGCTCTGCTTGGAGCAGAGCACCAAGGGGACCAGGCCACAAGTGGTGTCCAGAACTGGCCCACGTGGGTCAGCTGGGATCAGCTACAATGCTGTGTTAAAAGAGGATGAAAGCAAGAGCACCAGTTCCTCCTCCTCCCCTTGCAAATCTAGTGCTTTGAATTTTATGATTTGCTTCTGTTTACATCCCCTGTTCAGCAAAATGTCTGACTTAACGTTAGGGGCTTTGCAGAATTGTAGGTACACAGCAAGTATGTGCCTTTTTAGAAAAGGTCTTTTTTCATTCTTTACCAATTCATGATTTTGAAAAAATACCTTGTTTCGGAGGGGAGAGGATAGGGACAGGGGAGAACATGCACCAAGAACCAGAGGTGTTTCTACTGTCTTCAGTGAGGACAAATACACCCACATACTCATTCTCTCAGAAAGTCTCCTGCAAGAGCTCACATATTCAGGCTGTCTCCCTTGCCGTCACCTGAGTGTGTGTGTGCAGGAAGGCATTTTGAAGTGAAAATGTTTCTAGCTGTGATAACAGTTTAAGAGTGAAGGAAGACATCTTTATGCACTTGCTACGGTCTATAAAGAGGAGCAAATGGGTTTGTTCTGTTGGGGTTTTTTTAACCGATTGATGTACCTTGTCAAAACACCCCTTTCTCTTAAAAAGAAAATTCTGTAAGTCATTTTTTCCTTCCCTTCTACTTCAAGGATACCAAGGGCACATTGAAAACAAGTGTCAGGCTTCTACCCTCCTTAGGTACTTATGAAAACCTCCTGTTTCTTCAATTGGAGGCAAATTAGATTTGTGCTGTATGTTTCCTCTGATGAGGTTAGCATGAATAAGTTCGTGTGTTTGCTGCTTAATTACTTAAGCCTCTTTTCTGGGTGATCTGAAGTTGTATGAGGTCAGAATCTAACCCATTTTAGTTCCTTTTATAGGACTGTAGCTTTGTAAGAAAAAATAAAAATAAATAATCCTCTTCCTCCCCACTCTTTTCAGCATTAACAGTAGCAAAGTTGTCCTGCGTTTTGAAAGATTTGGCTTGGGGATCCTGGAACCAAGTAATCAAAAGATATAGCATGGTGTGTAATTGTCTTGTGATAATGTTGTCTGCCACTTACACAAAGCATCAGAAGTCTTCACTGAATCTTCCAAGCTATGAAACTGGTGCAGCCACAGCTGAAAGCCACACGACCATCAGTTCACAGTCTTGTG